CCCCGAAAAAGAGCCAGCTTCATTTTATGCCCTACTTTTTCTGGCTCGTTGCTACCAGGCACCTTCGCTTTGTGTAAACTGAAAGAAATAAAAAGGACAGGACAGGATATGTCCTCTCTTGTCCTTATGACCTAGATGTTACATCAAACAGTCAGATTCAGAGACTGTAACATTGTGGGGCTTCAGGAACTAAAGGAACATCTCCCTTTCTGTACTACGCCATGCTTTTCCCCGTCACTTTTAAAATTCTACAATCTGCTGGGCTCCTAGGATATCAAAAAAGTGAAGGTGACCTTTGAAATGCATGAAGAAAGTGGCCGCTGCAGAAGGAGCCAGGTGAGGCTGCTGAGTTGCAGGGATGGACTCTCAATTGCACACTCCTTAACCATAAAATTTTACACCTGGAGGATGTGTAAGCAATTGCCTGCTCCCACCGCTATCCTCTACTTTCAGCAGGAGTAACATCAACAGGGCTTGAGCAATTCATTCAAAGCTCTGAAGATACATTGCCCAGTGGATGTTATCACCGAAGACATGATACGATTCCACAGTGCTGCTCAAATAAATTACACAATACACCCATCGAATTAATCAGATACGATAAAGAAGTATGAATCTTGCAAGCTGATTTAATGCCTGCTTGGTAGATGGGAAGCTTCATGTGCTTTTATAATAAGAAATATTTCCAGGTCTTTGTCATTCTTTGCAGCTCACAGTACCTCATAACTTAGCAATGTTGTACCTTGGAGTCCAATACAAAATTTGCTGGTAGTATATGCTACTATGTGAAAAAACAGATGCATTCTAAAACCTACCAAACATCATTAAACATCGTAATACAAAGAGATGACTAAAATGTTCAAGAAGTGTTATTGCTAGAAAAGATGTGGATATATGTGTATATATATGACAAAAAAATTAAAAGAGCTGCTGTAGCAATTTTCAGTTTGTTGATTTGACTGAAAAAAGTGAACTTGAATCCATCAAAGTGCAATGAAAAATGAGTTTGCATAGTGATGGGTGTTAACCCTAGATAAATTACCATACGCCTTGTCCCTCATGACTTCCTCCTCATTAAATGTGCTTAAGCTAATTAGAAAAAGTCACATGGTACAGGGCTAACTTAATTTCCCAGGATACATGTCATGTACAAGAAACACTGAAGATGGCTGAGAAACAAATGATTCACACAATAGGAGCAAGTCATATCTAGACTTTACATAATTAGGAAAATACAGACTTTTATGTGTGAGTTAAGAAATATATTAATCATCATGTGTGATGTGTGTGAGTGCAGGTGTACATGTGCAACGGTGTGGGTGTGAGGTGGCTTTTTCCTTCAACTGTTGGGCCAGGTGTGCTGTTTCCTCAGCACTGCGCACTCTAGGCTACCCGGTCCATGAGCATGAAAGCAATGCTACCATCCATGCCTACTGTTTTGACTTAGGAGTTGTGGGACTACACATGTGAGCCACTGCATCCTTGTGTGTGTGTGTGTGTGTGTGTGTGTGTGCGCGCGTGCGTGCGCGCGCATGCACTTGCACTTCCAGATATTAGGCCCAGGTCATTAAGTTTGCAAGGCAAGTAAGTGCTTTTACTTGCTGAGTCATCTTGCTGGCTCATAATTGTAAGTCACTTCAAAAGCATTTTTTAAAAAGATTTATTTTTGGATTGTGCGTGAGTCTGTGTATCCATGTGTAAGTATGTGCACATGAATGCAGGAGCCTTTGGAGTTCAGAGGCATTGGCTCTCCCTGGAGCTGGAGTTACAGGTGGTTGTGAGGTGCCTGATGGGGTGCTGGAAATTCAACGCAAGTCCTCTGGAAGAATATTACATGTGCCTAACCACTGAACCATCTTTCTAGCCCCGTATGTGGTTTTTCTTCTCGTTAGCAGTTTAGAATTAAAACAAAAAGAAAACCAAGAACAGCAGCTCTTCTTTTGAAAATGAAATTTTTCTGTGTCCAAAACCAGGAACAATCCTTTAACATGCCTGTACCATTGTAAACCTTTCCCTGTCTTGCTGCAATTCTTCATTAAAATTTCTATTAATGTCTTAATATATATATCTATGGTATTCTGCTACTATGTGGTGGAGAACTGGCATTTTTCTAGCTCAAGTCCATATTTTTATACTCTTTACACTGCAATTGTCAGGTACTGGCTTCTGGTACAAGTCTTATACTAGTTTGGGTTTAATTGTCTCTAGAAGCAGAAATATGATATCTTTTATTTCATTCACATAAGACATTTCCATTTTTTAAAAATACTTTATGATTTTTATCTTCTGTGTACGAGTGTATGGCCTGCATGTACGTGAGTACACCCGTGTCGTGCAATGCTGCAGAGGTCAGAAAAGGGCTTCGGATTCCCCCGGAACTGGAGTTAAGGATGGGTTGTAGCCACCATGTGGGTGCTGGGAATCAAACCCGGGTCCTCTGCAAGAGCAGTCAGTGCTCTCAACCACTGAGCCATCTTTCCAGCCCTGACCATTTTTAAAATTTTTTTTCTTTTTGAGAATTTCATGCTTGAGTATTATCTCTGCATTATTTCCACCCTATCCCAGTTCCTCACGAAGTTCCCCATGTTGCCCCACTCCTTCTCAATTTCTGCTCCTCTTCTTTATTATTGTTACATATACATATATACATACATTTATAAATGCACACATATGTAATGCACTGAGTTCATTCAGTGGTTATCATGTGTTTAGGGTACCTGTATTTAGGACTGCCCATCTGGGATTAGAAAACCTTGACATGAGTTAGTCCCTGAAGATTCTGATTCTCCTATGATAAATTTTTTGACAAATGGAAACTACTGGCCTTCTGGTTTGCTATACATAGGCATATGTCTAATATCTAATTTGCAGTTAGTGATATTTTGTTTTATACTATAATAATTTTCATATCAAACATGTA